TCAGAGTACTGTCGACGTTCGTACCACCTTGAGGACCATGCTCCTAATTGTCCTGCAGGAGATTCCCAGTAGTGGGGGTAACAGAAAAGCTTGAAACTAATTTGTTTAAAAGCTGTTCTAAGACCCCCTCGTAATCATCATGAAGTCCTCACTTACTACTTTGTTCTTTTTCACATAAGTCTGTATTTCTCTAAGCACCAGCATTCAAGATAAAGATTTCTTATCCATCGACTTTCAGGATATTAGAGTTGGAAGGAGCCTTAGAAATCGTTTAGAGTTGAACCCTTCTGTTTAAGGTTCTCCTGCGTTTGCCACCTACAGTCTGTTTGCCAGGGAGCCGTTTGTTGCTTGCCTGGCTGGTTCTTTTTCCTGATTGTCCCATTTCCTCTCAGTCTGGGGATTTGTCCCTGCTCTAATTCAGAAAGGAAGGTGTGTTAGTAGGTGAGGTGGGCTCCCTCAACAATTAGGCATGCCACATTTTGATTCCCTCTGGCAGATCTCACTTTTTTTTTTATTGTGCTGTTAAAATGTACTTACGTGACATTCTTTCATGTCAATCACACGTATGTCTGAGAAGTTTGTATTTACAAACAGAACCCAGTACATTCCTTGGAGAATATATATATAGGAGATCTATCTATCTATCTATCTATCTATCTATCTATCTATCTATCTATCTATCTATATATAAGATATATAGATATATATATATAGATATATATATAGGAGATATATATATACACTTTGCAAAAACAAAAACAAAACAGGATGCAATTAACTTGAGAGTTGGGTAGCTTAATGAACATCTTGATCTTTTGGATCTCATCTGAGATTTTAGGGTGAATCATACCCAGAGGCAGCCAGTGGCGATTCATGAGAAAGTCATAGAATTTTTCACTTTTCATCATTATAGATATATATATATAGATATATATATAGGAGATATATATATACACTTTGCAAAAACAAAAACAAAACAGGATGCAATTAACTTGAGAGTTGGGTAGCTTAATGAACATCTTGATCTTTTGGATCTCATCTGAGATTTTAGGGTGAATCATACCCAGAGGCAGCCAGTGGCGATTCATGAGAAAGTCATAGAATTTTTCACTTTTCATCATAAACTCTGTTTAATTTCTCAATATTCAAATGAAAATTTGGACCTTCTCCTGAGTCTTCATGTTGGTGTTCAGCCAGATCTGTAGTTTTCTTAGGCATAACCAAAGATTCAGCTGGGTGTCCAGAGTCCCCGCGGAAAGAAGCCTGCCTCTGTCTCCAACTGCTGCACAGCTACAGCTGGAGCCAGAAGGAGAAGGACGGCCATACCGTTGCTCATACCACTCGCCAAAGGGGTAATCCTATCAGGGCCAGGGCTCCAGCTTGCTCTGTGTCGGTACCAGGAATCATTATTCTGATGAGCCATACCCAAACCCGCAAAACCATGCTGCTGCATCATTAGATGGGGGCTACCCCTAAGGTGGGTTAACTGCTAGGCTCTGCGGCCCCTGGTCCCTGCTCCCCTTGTCACATGAGGGGCACCAAGTGACATACGAAGGATGGCACAGCTGTTAGCTGCCTTGAGCTTGGGGCTTTAACAGTGTTTCCAAAGCCTTTCAATGTTTTCCTACTACTGTCCTCCAAGTAGTTTCCAAGAAGAAAATGTAAATTTCTCCTATATTCAGGACTTTCTCATCCTGTTCCATAGCTGAGGGTACCTAGGAATTTCTGGACCCATGATTTCAACAGTGACCCCTCCTCAATCCTTTAATATAGACCTTTGGCATTCCTTCAGTCTGATGTAAAGCGCTTTGTAAAATCAGCTTTAAGGCTTCTCCTTTAACCAGTCTGCTGTGTCTAATCAATCCTAAATAGAACCTCTGGACATGCCATTGCCTCCTGGAGACCCTTAGCAGGAGAATAACTCAAAGCAGGGGGTTTACTGTCTTTCCTGGAGCCCACCCACCCTTTGAAGCCCTTGTTTCTCTACACTGAATAGAATTAGAGGTACCCCAATCTCATCTCTGCAGGGCGCATGTGAACCCTACACCAGAACCTGGCTTTTATGCTAGCTCGCTTCAGGGGGTAGTGTTTGTGGTTAATATATCTTCAGGTTTTGTAGTATGAGGTTAGGGCCACTCAATGTCAGTGTAGATAATTTCCTTCTCTAGCTTCTTTCAGTTCTTGATAGTGGGTATAGGAATGGGAAGGAATTTTTTTTTTATGTACTTTCCCAGAACCTTTCCTGCCCTTTCATTTTACAAATGAGGAAATTGAGGGCCAGAGAGGTAAAAATGATCTGGTCAGTTTCACACAGCCAAGGAGTAGAAGAGCAGAGGTCTGAACTGAGAGCTCCTGCTTCATAGACTGATAATGCCTTACTTAACTGTTTTGTTTAAAAAACAATATTGTAACAAGTTTTTTTTGCTTTTTATTTTAAAATATTTGATACCTCAACTATATTATGGAATCACTTAGTGGCCTCATCTCAGAAGTTAAGTATTATTTAAATCAGGTTTTCTATGCAAAAATGTATTTCTAAATCCAGATATTCAGTTTCCTTAGTGTCTTTGTCAATTCAGGCCACTAAAATACTGTGAGTGGCTTGAATGACAGACACTAATTTCTCACAGTTCTTGAGCTGGGAGTCCAGGGCCCAGGTGCTGGAGTGTGGTGCGCCAGGTGTGTGGGAGGCGGCTCTGTAGAGGTTGAGGACGAGAGAGAGGGGGAGACAGAAGGAGCACACGCTCTCTGGTCTTTCTTGTAAGGGAATTAATCCTGTGGGGGGAACCCCACTCTCATGACCTCATCTAAAGTCACATCTCCAAATACCATCACATTGGACATTAGGACTACAACATACAAATGTTGGAGAGGACACAAATCTATAGCATTTACAAATCTTTGGAATAGCATGAAACACCTTGAAAAGATTTCAGGACACTAGTTGAACATTGTGAAATTCTTCCATGGAAACAAAGCAATTCAGGCCTTTCTACTGAAGGGACAGTCCCTGCATAGCGGGTAAGGGAATCTGGTGGCACCCAGTCAGGCTGGAAGGAGAAGAGCCCACTCCATCATCAACCCACAGTTTTAGTGGAGTGTTCAGATCCATACTTTGAGTGATTTGCATTATTTATCACATGAAAATGCTCTTGAGTCATGCTGTCCTTATTTCTGTTTTGCTGTAGCACCTACCTTTCCATGAGGGGTGGTATCAATATCACAAATGAATCAATGTCAGGCTGTTTCAGGACATTTAGTTGCATAAAGGCTAATTAATAACAGAAAAATTCACAAGTTGGGAAATGTTTCCCTAGGGAATTGCTGTGGAGCTAGGAAAAAAAGCCTACGTTCAAGCACTTCAAGGTTTCCATGGAGATAAAAAGAGCTACCATTTACCAAGTGCTTACTTTGTGCCAGCCACCGTCCTGAATACTTCACAAATAGGCTATTTGATCTTCACAAAGAGCCTATGAGGTAGGCATAATTTTTCAGTTGAGAAACGGAATCTGAAAGAGATTAGTATATTCCTAGGGGGTGGACCTGGGTCTTTAGTGGGAAGAAGACCTGGTATTTAAATTCAGTTTGATCCAGTGGCAAAGCTGGAAGATTCAACCATCGCCCATCCTACAGTCTGGTGCTCTCTAATTCCTAAGCCTCACACCTCTGTGCTGTTATTGCTTACAAGTCTGTTTCTTAGTCTTCTAGATAATTAGAAATTGGCTATTAGATCTCTACATCTTCTCCCCTCTCAGAGTAATACAGGCAATCCATTTTTTTCACTCTCTGCTTTTCTTGCTTTTCCTATTTCCATTCTGAGTCTAGATCCCCTTGTTCCATCTCTGCATGAAACACCCTCTCCATTTCATTTCTCCAACTGAGCCACTTTCTTTAAGGCAAACTTAAAGCCCCGCTGCCCAGCACAGGTTCCAGACTAGCCATTCCCTAAGCTGCCCTTCCTTCTGCACTTAGAGTAAGGGCCTCTGCTTGTCCTTTAGCTTGTGTGTATAAGGCTATCCTGTTTCACTAAATCTGTGTCAACTCCTTGAAAATACATTTCTCACTCATTATCAGTGTTATTTGCGATGGTTAGTGTTTTCAGGACAGCATTGATAGCCCCAGTCAAATAGTGTTCCCAGTTCAACTGGTTTACTTGGAAGAAACAAGTTCATATGCTAAAGCACTCTCCAGCAAAAAATTAAGTGTATTTTGAAGCTAATAAGCACTGAGAAGTAATGGCCTTACCTTGTTTTATAGGGGAGGACAACCAAGGGAGGGATGTGGGGGAGAAAAAGGCTTTTTTTGATTAACCAAAGCTTGAATACAGATGTTTGATTTTTTTTTTTGAGAGGACTCTATCTTTTTTAACCTATTTTGTCACAATAATCTGTTGTCTTAATTTCACAAATATGAAATAAAAGCCATTTAGGAAACATTCAGTAGGAAGTTGCTGTTTGTTATGCTTTCCGTCTCTGGGAGAGTTTGGAATTTCTACTAGAATTTCTACCAGAATAGAGATTTGAAGAAATATTGGTTATTCAAGAAAATGCCCATTCACTCATTCAATCAGTTTGCTATTGTCTGGTGCTTAGCAATAGTGATCAAACAAAATAGATTATTTCCCTTCCCAAGGATTACATTCTAGTGGCAGAGACTATCAATAAACAAGTAAACACATATGTCAGTCAGTGAGAAGCAATATAAAGGAAAATACACGCAGTGTAAAGACAGTGAAAGAGGTGCTAGTTTAAGTAGAGTGAATGGTCAAGGAAGCCTCTCTGAGAAGGTGATACTTAACAAAAATGTAGAGGAAATGAAGGGAGTAAGTCATGCTCAATAGTTGGGAAATAATAGGTTTTGAAGCTCTGAGTTTTGGTTGATTTCCAAACAGTCTCCATCAAGATTCTTAAAGTCATCAAGTCTACAGGACAATCCTCGTCAAGGTGGCGAGGGCATTTTGCTGTGGCCTCCGTCAGCCTGGCCACTGCTCAGTTCCTTACCAGACTCCCTGGAGAACGTCCACCACCTTAGCGACCATCCTGAGAGTGGCGAGGCTGGGTGCAGGTGTGTTTGCGCACGCAGGAGCTTTGACTCTCATCGCCGTATTTCCATCAGCTGCCCAGACAAGCCTCACAGGTAAGAATGCGATCTAAGTCATCGTGTGAAGAGGGCGTTTGGTTCCGTGTGGCAGGGACCCTGAACAGAGCGAAACCGGATTCAAGGACGTTAAGAAAGCAAGCAAGTTTATTACACTCTGTAAGAGAGCAGGCCCCAACCTAATGTCAGACAGGTCCTGAATATTCAGGGGGGTTCCTTTTTATGCAGTGTGCAAGGGTTTTTAAGAGGGGTAGAGTTATAGGAACAAGTGTTGATTGACAGGCTGGCAACAACGCAACCCAATCACTACTGCGCATGCTCTTTCCCAGAATTCTTTCTGCCCACCAAGGGGAGCTAAACTGCGATGCAGATTTATTTTAATGACTTTGTAATGGAGAAAGGTCACTCAGGATGCCCAGTTGGACCCAAGCTTGTGGAATGTCTCAGTGGCCTTACTCCTCCTGCTAAGGATTTTCTCATTGGTGCGCACTCTCTGTGGTCTCCACCTCTCTGCAATCACCCTGACCTCTCCTGCTAATGTCTGGATTCCTGCCTAACAGTAGTGTGCCTGTATACAAGCAACTTCAAAAAGTCCCCAAAGTGAATTCCCCTCCGGCACCCCAATATCCTCAAAACAGAATGCTGCTCCCAATGCACCCAAATGGAAATTCTGGCACCAACACCGATAGCCTCATATGGTTACAGCCCATTTAGCTCTCACTAGCTGGCCTTCCCTACTGAATTTACAGATCACCTGTTGCTGCAAGCTGGGCTTCCTCGGGAGTCAGCATCACTATATTCACTAAGGAGTGCCTTGGAGTTAGCACCTGCAGAAGGGAAAGAGAGAGAAAGGAAGGAGGGAGGGGAGGGGGAGAGGAGAGGGTGTGGGGAGGGGAGGGAGGGGGAGGGGAGAGTAGAGGGGAGGGGAGGGAAGGGAAGGAGAGAGAAAGGAAGGGGGGAGGGGAGGAGGAGGGGAAGGGAGGGGAGAGAGCAGTCCCCTGGGAGGATTATTGAGGCCCCAGTTTTCTACAGCAGTGCCACAAACCAACTCAATGCAGCAGCATGGAACAGCAGTCTATCTTGTCACTTCATGGTTCTGGGCACAGCTAAGCTGTCTCTCTGGTTGCAGTCACACTGTGGCTGGGGCTGGAGTCATTTTGAAGCTTCCTCATCCACGTGTGTGAGAGGATATCTGTGGCTGTTGGGTGGGACCTCAGTGGAAGCTTTGGATTGGAACATGTATATATGACCTTTCTGTGGGGCCTGGACTTCCCCAAAATAAGTAGTCAGCGTGGTCGTATGATGGTCTAGCCATCTTTGCCCAACTGGCCTCCAACTGGGACGGGTCTGCAGGGTCATTCTGGCTGCCACTGGCCTGCATCAGAGCTCTCCTTCTCCCTCTGCCCAGTCCTGCATCCTAAGGTTCCCTTCACAATCTCTCTCAAGAGACTTTTGTATCCTCTAAAGAGCGTAAGATCTGCCTTTAGCCTCTCTGAGGCAGACAAGCCAATAATTTGTCTGTGGTAGGCGGTATGTGGATTATGATCCTGAGTATACCTGTAACTCTGAGGGAAAAATATTTTCCCAGCCTGGGGCAAAATACCTTTGAAACCTAAATTAGTCAAAGGGAAAAATAAAGTGGAAGAAACCCATTGATTGCTTACAAGCAATCATCCAATTCTGCTTGCCAGTGTCTCTCTTGACCTGACTGCAAAAAAAAAAGGGGCCCCACCCAACCTCTCTGGTTCAGACATGCCCTCACATGCCCTGTAATTACCTACTGATATGGAGATGTACTACTTCTCGCCACCCCTTGGAAACATCTATTGATATGGACATGACTAAGGCCAGGCAAGAGATTCTAGAAATGCTGCAGATTTACAGAATACTGAAGTCTCACCTCACAATCTACTCGCTCCCCATCTTCCACAATGGCCCCTGTGTGAAAAAACTGGAGCACTGTAACCAGACTAATAACATACAATACAAACAGCAATAAAATCATGATAATCCTCAAGTCAGAGAATTCAGATAATTTCAAAGTCCCAGGCAAATTTAGTCCATAGCTTGCCAATTCCATAGGTGGTCAGTAGCAGAAAAGGTAGGGAATTCAGAGCAATCATCACATGGCAGGTGCAGCCAGGGGGCAGGTCCAGGCCACAGGGACTATAGAAGAAGGGTGATAAGAGACATGTTTTAATGACACCAGCACAGGCAAATCTTGTTCATCAGGTAGGATGCATGCAAGAGAGTGGTCCTGTGATAGAACAGTAGTAGGAATGGTATCTCATCCTTGTCTACTATACCAGACTTTCACCCCCGTCCCTGCGGGAGTTACAGGTGGGCCAATACATAGGGCTACAGGAGGTACATGAAGTGGCCATAAAGATAAAACAAAACTTTCCCATAAGATGCTCTTACCTCCCAGATATTTTGGGTACACTACCATGATCTTTGGGGGCCACTCTGCTGTTACTCCAGGGACACACAGGAGGCCAGCTTCCAGGCCTTTTCCCCAAGGTGCCAGAAGGGCCAGCCACCACTGGTCCAGTGTCAAAATGTCCAGGCCCAGGTCCATTCAACAGTGTCTCCAGGGCTTAATGCAGTAGGGGCTGGCAGCAGGATGTGGCTCTGCTGGCCATATCCTGGCTTCAGTAACTCTTCTTTGGTTTGGATGTACAATTGTATAGGAGAGGCAGCAAGGTGAGTAAACATATTCACAGGACTCAAAGCTCCTTTACGTGGCTTCTCATTCAAATGCCACAGCACTGTCTATAGGTGAACTGACCAGCCCTATAGACTACTGGTGTCTGACTTCAGGCCAGATTTCAACAAACCATTGTACCTCTGTATCATGCCTGCCACAATAGGGTTATATGGTACATGAAATTTCTACTTTATTCCTAATTGCTGCACCCATCCTTGTAACGCATGTCCAGTAAAGTGGGTGCCTTGATTGCTCTGTCACCTGCAGCTGGCCATAGGCTGCAAAGAGATACTCTAGGCCCCTCTTGCTGGTGTGCTGAACCAATAGTCCAGTAGCTATGTCCACACAAGTAATGGCATAACGATATCCTTCTGATATGGGCAGAGGCCCAATATATTCTATCTGCCACCTGACAAGGGGTATTGGCCGCCTTACTATTGTCCCATGGTGCTATGGGACTTGGTGTAAGTCCCTCTTATAGCACACAAGCCATTCCCTCTAGGCTCTGCTGACTGCTTCAAAGGTCACCGACGGGCTACAGCCCAAATGTCTTTTGACCCATGTGCAACAAATGCTGATATAGCCACTAGGCGGTGGTCTTGGCAACAGTTCGGCCCTTGGCCCCATCCTCTCATTCTCCCCTGACATCTTCTCTACTGTCTCCAGGGCTGAAGGCACTGCTCTTTCCTTCCCTTCTCCAATGGCCTCCTGGCAAGTGGATTCTCCTGATATCTCCTCCCTCGCTGCTAACGTGTCTTGCAGGATCTCAACCTGTCTTCTCAATAATAGTCCCTCTTCCTTAAGGACATCCCATAGGTCATCGCCCAGCTCCTCCAAGCAATGATGAAGTGTGTGTCTTTCTCTCCTGCCAATGTCTCTCTCTCTCCTCAATAACCCTTTCTACTACCTCAAGAAACAAACATCCCACAATCCTGGCTATGCATGGACACTCAGGGCCTCTAAGCAGTGTTCCATCTCACAGAGGGCTAATTCCACAGTTTCCAGTGTCTCTAAGGCCTAACCCCTCTAGGAGTGCTTTACCTCGACTAATTCCCCATTAGGGACTCCCCAATAGGAAACTCCATAGGTAGGGGGTTCCTGGGTGAAGCTGCACCCTCTACTGCTGCAGCAACTGGGGCCTCCCCACCATTCACAGGGTGGGTTCTGAGTCTCCCCACCATCTCTAGGGGGAGCCCCCCCCCCACCAAGGGTCTCACCCATGAAGACAGATTTCAGGTTCAGAGTTCCTGCAGGCTACTGCCAGATGTAACTCCGGGGGAGGAGGGGGAAGGAATTTTTTCCCAGCACAGGGCAAAATACCTTTGAAACTGAAATCAGTCAAAGTGAGAAAGTGGGAGAAACCTGTTTATTGCCTACAAGCAATCATCCACTTCTGCTCTCCTGTGTCTCTCGTGACACAGTTGCAAAAAGAGGGCCCCACCCAACCTCTCAGGTCCAGATATGCCCTTGCTCCCCCTTGTAATTACCTATTAATATGGAGATGGACTACTTCTCTACATCCCTTGGAAACACCTATTGATATGGAGATACACTAAGGCCAGGCAAGAGATCTGGAAATACTGCAATTTTACCCATTAACACTGAAGTAAATTATTTTCTCTTGAGAACATGTGCACTTTGCTACAGAATCAAGAAGCTGTATCTAATAGGATATTGTAATTTGTGCTTTGCCTTTTACTTCCTCACATTTACTAATTTATTCTGATATTTTGCTGCAATAAGCAAAATGTTAACTAAAGGAAAAAAAGTCAGTAATGGAAGAAAAAGTATTTTTCTCTAAGTTGATGGAAGGATTCAAACAGGAGAATAACATCTTCTTGTTTACATTTGAAAGCTATAGTGGTTCTGTTGTGTGGAGCCTAGAACAGGCAGATGAGTTACAAGGCTTTGGCAGGCATCCCAGGGAAAGATGATAGACAAGAATCAGTGGGATGAGAAAGGTGAAATTATCAAGGATGATTTCCAGGTTTCTGGGATGATCAGGTGGAAGGAAAGGCTAAAATAGTAGTAGAATTAGAGGAGAAAATTTAGGTTTAGCCCTGTTCAAACTGAGATCTGATTCCATTAATAAAAATACCAGGAAAGAGCTGTTGGGTAATGAATGCCCTCTGGAACCCCAAAAAGAGGTGCGTGCTGGAAGCGGGGGGAAGGTAAGAGTACCATTCTAGTTGCAGATGTGCTCCTGTGTTTGTTGTTTAATCAAAATACTTTTTATTTCCTTTAGCATCTTCAAAAATTTTTGCACAGCCTTGCAGAAATTATGGGCCTTATTTGTGGAGTTGCTGTGGAGTGTCTGCCATCTGGTGGACAGTCACGGAAAGTACAACAAATTTGCCTCCAAGGCAAGAGAAACATTACCACCAAGTTGAGCAACACAAATCTTTTTAATATCTTTGCCTTACTAACAAACATTTACATATTTATATTTTTCATTAGGGAAAACTGATTGCTATGGAACCAAAATCACATTAAAGTGTGCAGCAGTGAAAAGGTTTATAAAAATAATCTGATTTTTAAAAAGTATTAAAAGCAAACATAACTGTAAATCCCAAAACTGGATTTTCTAGGAACTATATCAGAGATGTGGTCTTTGGGGTCTTTAGCAGAAAATAAATTTTTATTTAGTTTTATTATTTTATTTGTGCTTTACTTATATTATTATTTATTTTCCCCCAAGGTAACAGCCAGTATGTATGGAGCTGACTTAACACAGGCTCATGAGAGCTGATTATGAGCATCAGTTCCCAACTCTTTGTCCAGTAATTTCAGGCTGGTGACTTGAAATTGGTCATGGTGGAAGTATTTTCACTAAAGAAATCAACAAAGGCTTCAACATACAGTTGTTTTTCAGAAAGCCAGTTTATCAGTACACCATGCATATATTTCTTTTCTCTCTTGACTCTACCAATTAAAAAATAAAAGCATCCATGGAATGCTTATTTAAAAAAATTTATTTTATTTAAACACACAGTTCCAAATTTGGAAAACCATGAATACTTTAGAAAGTGGTATTTGAATTTTATATTTTTCTCTTCTTTTAGCTGTTCCCAGAGTGGAATTTTAGGTTATTCATTATTAAATTGGTATATAAAGTAAAAACTTGCAATTTTAGTAGAACCATTACCAATATTGGCATTTGGATTTCTTGTAATAATGATTGTCAACTAATAGGTGTGATGAATAACTATATAACTTCAAAATTGGGACCAAAAACCTAAAAGCTTCATATACAGATCAATGGTGGATATGTGCTCTGAGATCTTCCTGGTCTGGTTCTAGAGGGGTGGACTTGAGAGGTATTTGTTCTTACTTTATTTGTCTTATGACTCAGAAATAGTTCCTCTGATGTTTTTTTAAGGGTAGTATGACTAACTTACCTTTGTCTCTAGTTACATTGCCTTGAGGAGGCCT